CATTTGGGAACTTTCACGTGTTCGAAGTATTACTAATAAAAGATGGTTTATTACATATACAAATGATCATACACGTGTTTGTTGGGTGTACCTTTTAAAAGATAAATCTGACGCTCAAAACATTTTTCAAAATTTTCATTCGATGATTAAAACCCAATATAATGAAAATATTAAAATATTACATACCGATAATAGTACATAATATTTTAATAATGTTCTTGGATATTTTCTCACAAAAAATGGGATCATTGATCATAGTTCTTGTGTTAGCACACCACAACAAAACAGTATTTCTGAAAGGAAAAATCTTCATCTTTTAGAAATAGCTAGTTCACTGATGTTCACAGGAAATGTCCCAAAATGTTTTTGGGGTGATGCAATTCTTATTGCATGTTATTTGATTAATCTAATGTTGATTTGTATTTTACAATACCAAACACCATTAAATTATCTTCTCAAGTCATCCCGAGTCTCGTGATTTCTCTTCATTAAACTTAAAAACTTTAGGATGTTCGGCATTTGTTCATATTCCTGAGAATAAACGTAGTAAGCTTGATCCGATCTCATAAGTGTGTTTTTCTTGGGTATTCGGCCACACAAAAAGGGTATAGGTGTTATTTAACTAAAATGAAAAAAAATATTGTGTGTCCAGGGATGTAACATTTTTTTAAAATCAACCCTGTTTCACAAAAAAACCTCTTTTCAGGAAGAGAGTAAAAATGGAAAAATATGCAGATTGAAGAAATCTCTGTGTGGTCTAAAATAGTTACCAAGGGCGTGGTTCAGATGTTTCACCAAGGCAATTCAAGGGCAAGAGTATAAGCAGGCTCAATTAGACCATACCCTATTCTATAGACATAACAATGGTAAAATATCCATTTTTATAGTTTATGTTGATGACATAATATTAATAGGGATAGAACAGTTAAAATAGAGACTTGCAGTTGAGTTTGAGATGAAGGATCTTGGAAGCCTAAGATATTTTCTCAGCATGCAAGTAGCAAGAAACAAGTCTGGGATTTCTGTGTCACAGAAGAAATATGTTCTAGACATATTGAAGGAAACCTGAATGATGGGGTGCAAACCAGCGGCAACACCGGTGGGTCCAAATGCAAAGATTAGTACTCAAGAAACAAGTGGTCCAGTAGATCAAGGGAGATATCAACGCCTCATGGGAAAACTCATTTATCTCTCACATACAAGACCAGATATTATTTTTGCAATAATCCGTGTGAGCCAGTTTATGCATGCTCCAACCGAAGAACAAATGGAAGCTATTTTAGAATCTTGAAGTATTTGAAAGGAACGCCATAAATAGGTTTTTTCTTTAAGAAGAATGAAGATAGAAGCATGGAAGTATTCACAAATGCAAACTGGGCAGTGTCACTTGATGATAAAAGATCTGTTGGTTTTCGAATCGAATTCGGATGCGGAAGCGTGGGGATAGCGGATCAAGTATAACAAAAATTTTCATAAAACCTTTGAGATACTCTATAGATTATATTAATTTATGCACGAATAAATTAATCACATTAATTCATTTATTAAGAACTCAATTACGAATAATACCTGGCGGATTAGGATGATAACTTAAGTTCTTTGACCTTAAACAATCCTTGCTCCAGAGCCTTGTGTTTGGAAAACCAATGTCTTCCACGTCAATTCCTAGAATCCACGAAGACGTGTTGGTGGGCACACTTGAGACAAAACGGGTTAGAATAAACACTCGAATTTTCACAAACACTAATGCATGCACGATATGAAACTTTTGGAGAAAAATATTTTTCCTCTCACTCTATAGAGAATTTTGGCCACAATATAAAATATAGGTAAAAAATTGCGTTCAAAAATTGTCTCACAATTGTCTATCATTCTCTTATTTATAGAGTAGAAGTCAAACTTCCAGAAGGAATCCAATCTCTATCTCCAAGATAAAACTTGTTAATTATCTCCTATTTGAATTTTGGAACAAAATATCCTCTTCCTTATCCTTAATGTGGCCGGCCATGCATGGGGATTCTCATCCCTGTGTGTGGCGCCAATTACAGATAGGGAAGGAAGAGAAAATCATCATTTATCCTACAGTCTAATTTTAATTCAAATTCAAATTTTAATTTAAGTCAAACTTAAATTAATTTGAATTCTAAATTAAACAACTTATCAAATAATTTTAAAAGAATAAATTTAAATTATGTTCACAATTCAAATTCAAATTTAAATAATAATTAATTCTCAATTAATTATTTTTGAGTGTTTCATTTTAGAATTCCGTAATTTTAAAATTTTCATTTTGCCCTTTGTGTCTGGTAGAATTACAAGGACGACGCGAGGACTAATGGACCTATAATCCCGAGCTCCAATAAAATTCATAATTAATTAAACACTTTCATTAATTAATTAATTCTATTAATTTCAATAGTTACTCCACTATAAACTTGGAATTGTACTATCAAAATTATAGACATGAATTACTTCTAAACTGTGAAGTGTCCATTTGATATAGTCGCTGCATATAGATCAATCCTCCATAAATAATTCATAATTAGAGCTAGGTAAAATCCGTTAACCTCTCTAATTATATCTTCATCCTTGAGTACCATTGATTCTCTAATGGATAGTGATTCATAAAACACATTCATGAACCAGAGCGCTCTAACTAGTCCAAGTACCGAATCAACACTCAAGAGAATTATTTATCTGCTTCTTTCTCAAGAAGGAATGGATTCCTTCTCGTATAATAACATTCCCGGCTGCCTACTTCATCATGTCTCAGAATATGATTCAGGGTCTCAGAATCCGTACCGAGTAAATCAAAAGACACAAATTCATAAATAGGAGTTTGTTAAGAACTCATGATTAAGATCATTCTATATATGACCATCGGTAGACTCAATTAGAATTTCTATACTTAACGAAAATTAGTAGAAATTCATATTGTGTATGTGTCCTTGTTCCACATAATCTCATTATGCGTAATACACTCATTCAATATCTCGCTATATTAACAGTGCAGATAACATCGTTCCATTCTAAATGGGAATGACATGTATTAATAATGTTTTAATTAAATATTCTAAACTTTAATTAAATTCATTATGAACATCTCTTTTTGATTATTATCCTTAAATATTATCCTCTCGCATATAACACTTATATACAATGTTTAGGGTCACATAAATAATCATAGAATTTTCATTGATATCCATAAAATATTCACAAATATATACACATAAAATGATGAATAAACCCTTTTATTAAATAAATAATAAATATCATATCACATCTCATGCTTCTAGGACACTATTCCTAACAATATCTACTTATGGATATTGCTCATTTGTTTGGGGAAATCTAGTAACTTGAAGGAGCAAGAAAAAACCAGAAGTGGCGAGAAGCAATGCAGAGACGGAATTAAGATCTGTTGCTCATGAGATATGTGAAGTATTATGGCTGAAGATGTTGCTAGAAGAACTTGGGAGTTATTATGAAGATGCCATTGAAGATCTATTGTGATAATAAAGCTGCCATCAGCATCTCACACAACCCAGTTCATCATGATAGGACTAAGTATGTTAAGGTTGACAAACACTTTATTAAGAAAAAATTAAAGACGAAACAATCTATATGACTTATGTGCCTACGTCTATGCAAGCAGCAGATCTTCTTACAAAAGGACTTTCCAGGTCACTATTTGAGAAGCTAATAGACAAGCTAGGGATGTACAATTTGTACAACCAAGCTTGAGGGGGAGTGTTGACGTGTTTTTTGAGTCTTATTTCATGTTTAAATTTCAAATTAGTATAGCTGATATGAGAATAAAATATATTCCTAGTTTTTAGGGATATCAGGTAGTTAGGGTTTCTTGTTTGTTTCTCTCATCTATAAAAGACTGTAAATGACGAGCATGTAAAGTAGAGTTCTTAATTAATTAATGCAGTGCTTGAGATCGTCTCCCTCCTTGTGTTAGTTTACACATATAAACATGAAACATCCTTGATTTAGAGTTAGTATTCAACAACTGGATCCGGTTTAAATTCAACCAGACCGCACGTGTTTTCACTAATGTTATTTTTAAAATATTTTTTTCCATGTTGTAACGATGTTAAAATTTTTAATTACTATTTCGTGTGGTTTACTTTTTTCCCTAAAAGATAGAACCGTAGGGCCGGCAATATGGGTCACGACACGACGACACAACTCGAAAACGACACGAATTTAGCGGGTTAGGGTTGAGAAAAAAGAGGTTCGGGTCAGAATTGGGTCGACCTGAAAATGACACGAAAAATACGGGTCAATTTCGGGTTGGACCCGCCTAACCCGAACACGACACGAAACTCGTAAAAAACTAAAAAATACATATATTTTTCATTTCATATTTTAAATTTTATTATGAACTTGTGATATCATAATAGTTATACTCAAAATCTTATACTATTATTTGCTTAATTTCAATGGATGTTATTGTAATTTAGTGTGTTATGAATTTTAAGTTATTTCTAATATGTAAAAAAAAAAAAAAAAGTATACAATTTTCGTGTCAATTTCGGGTTCACGGGTCAATTTCGTGTCGCGGGTCATTTTCGGGTCGTGTCGTGTCAGCTCGTAAAGTGGTCACGTCGTGTTCGTGTTGTGATTTTTAAAAAATTTCGTGTCACGGGTCGTGTTCGGGTTGACTGAAAATTTTAAAAAAACGATCAAAACACGACACGTGACACGAATTGACACTCCTAGAACCGAGATACATACTCTATTATAAAAAATAAAAAATCATGCACTTATTAAGTTTTTAAAATTTATTATTTGTCATGATTATAATAATACTTTAACAAGAGCAGCGAGGTTCTTTTGGCGCGTAAAGGACATAGGGAAATCTAGTTTCTAGGCTCTATTAGAACAGCTGATAACAAATTTTGCCGTGTATCTTGAATTAATTAAAAATGGCATATAAACTTTGCATCAGAAGCACCACATACAACAAGAAATAGAAACACAAGGGCGCATCTTAACTTTGTTGGACTATGGATTTTGTTATTATAGGAGCATAATACGGAGAGTACATGAAGAAATATATGTAGTAAAAGCCCATAGGCAGTGTCGGTGAGAAGCAAAAAAATAGAAAAAATACGTGCCTAGGTTCATTTTCATCTTTCTCAGATGTAAGGAATTCAAAATTAGAAATAGCTTATCGGGGAAAGCTCCGCTGCTCCCACTAAGAACCCTCACAGATATAAGAAAGGCTTTTACTTAAACCGCCTTTCGGGTGGGTTAGCCAAGCAATGCATCTCTAATTACCGAGAACCCCAAAGAGGTTTTTTAGTTAATGCCATATAGATTATAGCTGCCACATTCAAATGACAGTATAGTAAGGTACCCCTTTAGGTTCCGCTCATTTGCATCAGTTGCAATGGAGATTTCAGCAACTTTTTTAGTGAGTCGACTATACTACCAAAAGACGGGCGTTGACTAGGATCGCTGCGAGGAAACAAGGAAAAGATTACAAGAAAAACTTTAGAAGTAATGGAAAAGGAGACTGTTGGAAAGAAAACATGAGATGTCCAGCAAAAAGTGGACTTTCTTTTGCATCAAAGAATTGTAGAAAAGCAACCGATTCGGAAAAAAAAAAAAAAAAAAAAAAAAAAAAAAAAAAAAAAAAAAAGAGAAAAAGAGATGTACTATTGATAATGCCATCTACTAAATATTTATTGATATGAAAAACTTTTGCAAAATTATATAAATTAACTTGAGAAGTTTTGCATGCTTACTCGGCCCAGCAAGATTCCATAAGGGAAGCCAACACCGGCGGCGATGTATTAGATGGAATAGCTAGCCTTCTGTTCTGGAAAGCGACAGCTCCAACTACCTGAAAATTGGTAAGCCATTAAGTAAAAAGGAAAATGATGATAACAACAAGTTAATCCTTTTAATCGAGGGTGAGAATTCGTACCAAAGGAAGAAAAAAAAAAGGAACAGATATATGCACTCATTACAGTACCTGGGCAGGACTAAGTCCACTCCAAGGTTGTTGCATGGTCACAAGCTCCCATAGAATTACTCCGAAACTATAAACGTCAGACTTCTCATTAGACGGCTCTCCACGGAGAAATTCTGGAGCCATCCACTCAGGCTGAAAAGAAAAAGCAAGAGAGTTACATGTTGATCGATGCACTTGCCTAGTAAAACTCAACCTGCAAAATATTGATGGAAATTTCTGACTATACATACAGAGATGCGGAAAAGAGGCCAGGATTAACGAAAAAAAAAAAAAAAACTAGAGCAGCAGTACATTATTATTGTTACTTTTTTTTAAGATAAGAAAAAAACTAAATCCTTGTAAAACAAGTAGCAATAAAAAACGGGGCACACCAACAGTAACGAAGTGGTTATTCCTTGTTCTTGGGGGAAAAAAGCCACATCAGATGTAAAGATTCAACTAGAGAAAGGCAACTGCTTGATAAAGTAGGGAATAAATTGGCCAAAGGATCCTTCGAACATTGAAACAAAGTGCCGATTGAAGATACAGAAAAGTGACAAAAATACATAGAGAGCAACTTACCGTTCCAGCAACAGACTTTGATGATATGAAGGTGTTTGCTTTAAATCTGGACAGCCCAAAATCACACACCTAGCATAAACACAAAAATTGCATGACGTGCCAAGAGGCAAATATCCCGGGAATAAACAAAAGCTGGAGGGAGGGAGGGAGAATCCAAAACAAAATGATAATACGTTTCCAAATGTTACCTTCACTGTCCAATTTTTGTCAACCAATAAATTCGGAGATTTTAGATCCCAATGCACTATCGGAGGGCTTAAACAATGGAGATAGTTGATACCCTTGGCCTGCATCCAGTCCAAAAAATGGGATTTTTCTGATATTAATAAATTACTAGCAGATTAATGAGAACACAATGATGGAAAGTGAATCTAGTACAAACCACATCTAGTGCCATGCGCAACCGCCGCCTCTGATCCATAATTTCACCGGAAGCTGGCCTGTGTATAAGGCGATACAGGCTACCCCTGTTCAATAAGACATCAGGATGGCCGGATTAAGATGCACAAGCTTTTGTGATACGAATGAGAAAAGTCATTGTAAAGTATTAACATTCTTTGCCAGTTCTCAGCAAAGAAAAAAAAGGGAACTAAATATTACCTTGGCAGATATTCTGTCACTATTGACAGATGTGGACGCTTGGTAACTGCACCCATGAAAAGAACTACATTTGGATGGCGTACGCGTTTCATTATTGCAACCTATTACATGTGAAACAAGACTTAAAAGTCGGGCCCAGATGAACTCCATAATAATACACGTGAGAAAGACAAAGTGTCGACCCAATGCAATGTAAGAAATCATATCAAATGGCAAGTTTCAGCATAACATATTACCCTTAAAAGTATTAAGCTGGAGTATTTTACCAGATAAATCAATATTAGCAGTTGGTAAAGATTAAAGTTACTTGCAAGATTCAATCCAAAAAAATAGAAAACAAGTTTTAAGAATTTCCTCTAAGCATATACTTCTATGATCACTTAAACCTTGGCAAAATAATTCCAACAAAAGAACTCGGTCTGCCTAAATGCTACATTACCATCCATATTTCAAGTTGAAATATGCCAAGATATCAGATATTTCTCTTGTACTCACCTTCACTTCGGAAAACAAACCAAGCCAAGTGCGTATCAAATGGTCTCTTAATGTGATATGAAAAGTCCAAGCATTTAAGAGTACACACCAAAAGCAACAACAATTCAAGAAGCTGAACAGACTAAAAGGAAAAGAATGGTGGGATGAAATTAAAGAAACAAAAATATGAAACCAAATTGTAGACTCATTTGGATAGAAGTAAAAAATAAACATAAGATTGAGGATGATAACATATGCTCAGCTCAGAAAGATCTTCCATTATTAATGAGACATTTGGTTCATGGGTTCATAACCATGATTCATGATTGATGATTCTGATTTTTGAAATTCAAATTTTTTGTGAGAGAAAAACACTGTAGAGAACCAAGAACCATGTTCAGAACCAAGGACGAACCATTAAAACAAACATCCCATAAGTTACCATACCTCTCTCAAAAACTCCTTCAATTGATCGTCATGAAAATCCTGGACAGTTAGAACCTTGACAGCAACATCCTGATTTGACAGCCGCAGCAATTATATGTTACCAACTCCAATATAGCATCTCAAATAAAAAACTACACTGATGATACTGCTGGTTAGATATTTCAGCATTCACTGAAGATAATTTGAAGAAAATAGATGCAGATGACATTGCCCCCTCGAAGCAATCTCTCTATTCTTTCTTCGTAAAATAAGGGCTAAAAATTAGGTCACTCAAACAGTGGGATACTAGGAGTCAAGGATCAGAGAGTTACTAACCGATCCATGCCATTCAGCACGATGTACAGTCCCAAATGACCCTGATAAAGGAAGAGTAAGACTTCAGATGATTAAATTTGCAAAAGGAATTATACTCGATGAATGAATCGAACTTTAATATAAAGGGGAAAAAAAAGCATAGAACATACCAGCACCAACACGCTCCTTGATACGTAACTCGTCCCATGAGATCTCAAGCCAGTCCATCGCAAGAGATGGCTCAAGAGTCAGGTATCTGGGAATGGTCACGTGTATAGAAGGAAATCTTTCCCGACTCTCGAGTTCTTTGTCAATATCCTCCGAAGCCGACTGCCTGGATAAGCCTACTCTTACTTTTGGTTGCTTGACACTATCACTTACTAATTGCCCTCCTGAAAAGAAAAAAACCTTCTTTTTATTATTACTTATTATTTTTTTATGATTTCACTTAAGTTTCTCTATAAGAAATTATGTCTAGACCAAGCTAGAACGTGAGAACTGGTTCAACAGTAGCATCAAGTACTTCAGAAACATTACCCCTGATAGAAGACATCATGGAACTCTGAAGAACCCGATGCTCAGAATTTCCTTTCAATTCCAAAGACATTAAAGAAGATTCCTTTCCAAGACTATCTTGATCAACTAGACTCTCACCCCTTGTTTCTCTGAGGAAACGACTTTCCTTAATTTTAAGACTTTCTATCGTGCAGCCTGCAATCGGTTGATCTGTATCAATATTGATCTGCTGAAATATTCGAGGAAAACAGGCTTTGACATAATAGACCAACATAATTAAATCAGTCCAAATGGTGGAACATCTATGAGATCAATAGTTAACCCTACACTAAACTCAAGACTCCTGCAAAATGAGATCAATTTATCCTACACTACATATCATAGTTCCAATCAGATGCCATTTGCAAGGAACATATTCTAATTTTATTTAGACTCTTTAAATGAAGGATGTCAGCATGTCAATAAGTCCTTTGAAAGTCAACGACATTTGCAGCCTACTGCACTGTAGATCTGAAAGTTAGCATCTTGAACTATTTGTACGTTATAATTCACAATGGTTCACCCACCTAAGCAGCCATCCCAACACTCATCACTTTGAAACAATCTCGAGGTATACAAGTAATAACAAACCTGAATAAGGAAGATTTTCGGGAGAACCACATGTGCTGTTTGAATTTACAATTTGACAACTATCCATGCATGGCTGTTGAAATTCTTTAAGATGAGAAATCTGAAATGGTGAGGGCATCGATGAAAGAAATCCTCCATTGATTGAGGAATCTGGACCATGAACATTTCCTGGTTCCCCAACTAGATCAACTACATATTCCCTGTCGAAAAGATAAACTTCTATAAACAGAAGCATGAAATATAGCGATTGTAGATAAAATGCAACAGGGTGTTACTGATGTAGAATTCTGAAAGGAAAGTAGACAAGAAAAATAGACGAATGGAGATCAAATTACAACAAAAGGACTAACGCAATAATCAATATGATATCCTTATCCTCACAAAAGGACGAGAATGAGTGCGAATGCTCTTCCGGAACAAAATGAAATCATAGATCATGTAATGCGCCAATTAGTTTCCAACAAAAAGCCTTAAAGTTCCGTTAGCAAGAAACAATTTCTTGTGTTTGGTTGCCTAGATCTCTTGACCGTTTTGCTGACTTATTGAATAAGGCTCTGCAAGCTAATTGTATTTGATTTGTCCATTCCGGGATGGTTTCCCCCGATGTGGCTTCCCTTTTACTTTCTGAGTTGGCTGAATAAATTACACTTTGATACCGGAAAAAAAAAAAAAAAAAAAAAAAAAGTCCTACATCAACAGTTGAAAGTCTAACCTGGACTGCCTGGCATCTTCGATCTTAACAAGACAAGAAGACCTATGATCTGCTACACAATACTTGCAGCCCCGAGCTATCCGACATGGTAACCCAATATAATCTGCCAATTTCTGCATAAGAAGAAAGTTCACTTTAAGTACAATTACAGCAACCAGTAACCTATTTTCATAACCGGACTAATGTCCACAACACACAGAAGGATGATTATTTGCACTAGCATAACTTTTGTTTTTTATTCTTATTATTATTATTTTTAGGAAATATGCACAAGCACATTTGAATACGAGTGCATGCATAGAGTGCCAGAATGAGGGATACATCTTTACAGTCTATGAGATCTCCAAGCTTCTTCACAGCTCCATAAATGTATGTACTTTTAGCATAGTATTAGCCTATCAGCACCAATGAGATCAATCTGCCATGCATATGGCAAGCATACACAACTATTTACTACATTTTTGTTACCTTGAAAAGAATAGCACGATGCCTGCAAAGTCCCATAGAAAGGCTGCCAATGGGGAGCACGATACATTTCTGAAAATCCTTCAACCTCTTGCTAACCAATTTCCAGTGCATGTGGAGATCCCCTTGCTCCACTGGGAAGGTACCCCTTTTAAAGTTTGTAGATCAGAATTATTTTTCGTTGTTATAAAAAAAAAAAAAAAAAAACCCGTTTTCATAATGCTCAGGAAATTATGAGCAAGATAAGGAAAATAAGAAAATACCCCATGTAGATGGAAACAAGTTTTCCTAATTTCTCCACCAAAACTAACATATTTTCTGAAGTACAATAGAGCTCTTGCGCTTTATCCTCAAGCTCCTTAAGGCGAGAGTCCCCATGTCTATCGACCAGAACCACCTCCATGGATGTCTCACTGGGGTCAATTGCTTTAAGCGACATCAACGGTGGTAACCGTTTACCTTCATCCAGATTATTGCACATCACCCACAGATAAGGATTCATCCCCAAAATGTTATAGAAACCATCTGAAATCTTATCAGTGTAAGACAAGCAGCCGCTAACCTGGAAAGATTCAAGTTCATTTTCAGTAAAATCAAACTGACAATCAAATCTAAAAAAGTTCAGACTCCACCAGAAAATTCATCAAAAGAAAAAAAAAGAATAATCAAAGACTTATTGACCTATGCATGCATGAATACTTAATATACAGTGGCACATCTTTTAAACAGTTCTATCTAGTCACATTCAATGAATCCCACAACGAGCCTAAAACAAGGATGTGAACAAATAGTAAATACTCAATGGAACTTTTCTGGTACGCTAAGATTATCTTAGCAGGTTAAATTTTTTATCTGTCAAATTGGTATTATCTGATATAAAATTACGTAGAAGTTAAAAAATGCGACTAAAAAAACTTAATCTGTAAGACTGGCGTGTCATAAAATCTCCTATACTAAATAGGAAAACAAACCAGCAGCAAGTTAATTTAAAAAAAAAAAAAATAGCAAGTTAAAAGACTCAATGCAGACGCCTCAAGCATAGAAATACATACATATATATTGAACAATTCAAGCCTTGAGATCTCAGTAACAAGAAAAGCAAGCAAGATAAGAGTGCCATCACTATTTTTTTAAAGAATAAATATATGGAAAAAAAAAAAAAAAAAAAAAAACTTCCAGAATGAAGGAGATTATTCCACATGATAAAAACTAAAATTCGACTAAAATGTTACCAAAAGAACTGTATACTAGTTTGGTTTCGCATCTCTATTTTCACCCAAAATGAGTACTGCCATGTAGTGAAAGAAAACGACCAATATAAGTCTCGCATTGCACCCACATGGCGAAAGTTGACGTGCGGACACGTCGAGTCAGAGAGATAGTTGTACTAGCAACAGTAGTAATCGAGCAAAAAACATACAAGAAATTAACGCCGTACCCAGAGGCGATATGAGACTGTCTCGACGTCGGAAGTCTCCGGCCCAGTCACTTGCATTAGCAGAGGCTCGCTCGCGAGGCAAGCCTGAGAAGTCAGCCTCTTGGCGAAAGTAAGCTGCAGATAATAACTCTCCTTGGACCTCTGCGCCAAGCTCTGATCCCTACTCGCTGCCTCCTCCGCTTCCATTACCACGTCCTCCTGCCTCGTCGTCTCCGTCGACGACGACACCTTCGATAAGCAGTCCTTAACGTCGCACGACAGGTTTCCATCCAGCGTCGTGCTGATCCCGGAGAACAAGCTCCCGGCATAGCTACTCCCGCTCGAAACCCTCGGCAGCGACACCTGCCTATCGAAGTTCCTGTCCATGCTCCGATCCTTCACCGCCGACCTCGTCGCCGGCGCCGGAGAAGCCGGCTCCGGCGGCGGGAGGAGAAGCTCGCGATCCTCATCGCACGAGGAACATCGCTTAACGGATTTCGCCCGAGCAGTAGCAGCAACGGAACGCGCCGCCTCGGCTTTCTTCTCGGCGAACCACTCGCAGAAGTCAGCGAAATGCTCTTGCTTCTGGTGCTGATTCTTCTTTTTCGTTTTGTATTCATGGCTCGTCAAGAGGTCGGAAACGGCCGAGGCCTTGCTGGCGACGGTGAACTGCTGCTTCGTCGTCGTCGACGACTTGACTCTGTCGTTTTCGAGCTGAAACGCGTCCTTTGGAACCGAAACGACAACAGAAGGAGCAACAGTAGCGGCAGAAGAAGAAGTGGTTGCGGTGGTTGTTGTGGTGTTTACCTTTTTCTCGTGATCTTCCAAGGCCTGCTGTTTGGACGCGGATACATCGAATCCGCGATCGGGGAATTGCCTTGGGAAGAAGTAAGTCGTTCTGTGAGGCATTTTTCTTGATCACGGATCTCCCGAGTCCAAACAAAGAAGAAGAAGAAAAACTTTTTTGTTTTGACAAAATCTCCCTCACACGGACGTACAGTACAACGCGTGCGCTACAAGCAACCGTACAGCAACGGCCTTTCTCTCAGGTTCCTCCTCTAAGTCTCCACATCTCGATTCCGAACCAGAGAGAAAAATCTAAAAAAAAACAAACAAAAAGAGAAAATATAATCAACAAGCGCGAATTCACAGAAACAGAATCATCCTTCTGACGATCACGAGCTTGGCTTTTCTCTTTCTTTTCTTTTCTTCCAAACAGATCTTCCGCGAGAAAAAAATGTCAATAGTATACGTTCTGAAGAGACTAACCGAACTAGATTCCTGAACCTGCAACGGCGAGATAACGAGAGCAAATCCGAAGCAGAATTTCAGGAGCAGTTTCGGCAGCAAATCTTATCAACAAACCTTGAATCTTTAATCTTCGCTTCAGAGTGCTCTAATGGAGGAGAGAATGAGAATGATGGTGTTTGCTTTTTGGGAAGCTCGTTTTGGATAGAGAGAGGGCGGTGGCGTTAGAGAGAGAAGAGAGAGATAGAGATCTAACATGGGTGTTAGTTCGGGAGAGTATTTTATTCAGCGCAAAAGGGAGACAAGGTGGGAAATTTGGAAGAGAGAAAAACAATTTATTATAAATATGAAAGCGGTAAAGGCTTAGGTGCGCTACAGGGTGGAGTACGCACCCTTTGTCTTTTCTCTACACGTAAAATTTAGTGCCAAAGTCGTTGCGACACGTTAGCGCTCAGGTCAGAAACACCCCGTTGCGCACGGCGCATGGAGGCGCAGTTTAGTGGCTTTTTTTTCCTTTTTCTTTTTGTTACTCTTTTAATAGCAGGATTTATAGATCAATACGAGCCTCTATTTTGCTAAGAATACAGTATTGTATTATATGATAATTGTGTTTAAAATATTTATATATACATATATTATGTATTATTATATTATATGATAAATATAAAATTTATATAAATATATTTACACAAATATAAATAGTATAATTATTTAATATATATGCAGATTATATAAAATAAAATATAATATTTTTGTGTTTCTTTAACATTTTCTTTTTTTCAACTATAAATATAAAAATGAGAAAAATGTTTGTAAATGTAATTGTTAACAAAATTAAAGACGTTTAAATTATTTAATATGAAATAAATATTTAAAAAATATTTATATTACCTTATTTTTGAATGTTTTTCAGATTGTCTTGTTGTTCTTAATTTAGGGCTATAAAAATGAAATAATTTTTAAATATATATTTAAATAAGTTGATAATATATGTTGTGTTGAACGTGTCTTACCTTGTACCAGGTTTTTTACGTGTCGGAGTGTGTGAATCAAATGTGGTTGGTATTGATATCTACGTTGTTGGTATTAGTTGTGGGCTGAAAAAAAAAATTAAAATTGTAATCAAAATAATAAAAATATTTTTTTATGTATAGTTGATAAAAGATAAAAAGATATTATTTACCTTTCTGGATCTTTTGTTTCTGTAGTTAATTATTTTGGTGGCGATGATGGAACATGAATGTCTTCGAATATTTTGGAAATTATTGTGCTCATTTGGGTGCCTCGTTGTTGAAAGAAGATTTTGAAGATTTTTTATTGTCCTTGAATTTGATCAATAGTTGGTGGTATTATAAATAGATCGGTAAAGCCTTCGTCAATTATTAATGCAGAACATGTTTTTTTTATTAGTGCTTGAGCGGTTCTGCCAAAAATGATAACCTCCATGTCTCCAGTGTAATCTTCAATTTTGATCATTAATCTATACATGTAAAATACATATAAATAAATTTTAAATGTTAGAAATTTTTTTTTTAATAATAAAGCTATATGGTAATTAAAAATGATTTTCTATTTTCCTTAGAAAAATGATTTTCTATTTTCCTTAGAAAAATGTTTTTCTATTTTTCTTTTATTGTCTATTAAATGAACGGATTATATAAATTCATTTAAAAAAACATATAAAAATAAATAAATTAATATGGAGAAAAGAAGTTACATAATGAAGAAAAAACATAAATAAAAAACGTAAGACAAATAAAATTCATATATAATTTTGTAATTTACATGCGTACATGAATAAACAACAAAAAATAAAAGAATTTGTTCGAACACAAAAGGAAAGGGAAGAAAAAAATAAAATTAAAAAAAGATTGGGAGAATAATGGGGAACGATTTACATGGAAAAAGCATGAATATACTCGGTATAATTGGTGTGAGGCATATGCACATCTTCCTTCATGTGAAAATTGGACCGTTTATTCTATCCAAAAAAAAAAAAAAAAAGTTGCAATGTTTGTTGCTCACTTGGACCAAATTCTTAGGCCCCGTTCACTTCGCTGATTTGAGTTTAGAATTCGAGTTTTTCTATAGTAAAAAGCTCTCACAAACAATCACATTTAACTTTTTTACTACAGTAAAAAGCTCTAACATAAAGTCACATCTCAACTCAAATTCTAAATTCGAATTAACGAAGTGAACGGGAAGTCTCAACCCATCAAAGAATAACGCGTGGCCAAAATCCAATTGGGTGGAATTCACTCACTACAGCTCACGTGTAAGAAAGATAGGAAACCATGTATAAGAGAAAAACAAACATACGGAAAATGACCAAAACGCCCCAACAAAGATCAAATAAAAGAGTAATAAGTTGAGGGCAATATAGTAAGTACACTCAAAATGACATGACGAAATAAAAAATTCATTTGAAGAAATATGCAGAGATAAAAAAGAAAAGACATATTCATTACACTGTAGCGTGAACAGTAAATTCGTCATTTCTTTTACTACATGTATAATATAAAAATATATATTGGTATATATTTAAATATATTGGTATATATATTTTTGATCGGCGGTTTGCTTAAAACAGTGATGTTATAAAATCACCATCTCATAGTTGTTTATAGAAAAATAGTAAATGTCACTGTTGTTAAAAATTATCATTAATTTTTAATTAAACCACACATTGTGTTACGTCATGAATTCTTTAATCTTTTATATGAGTACGTGTAATTCAGTAATTAGTTTTTCTATAAAAAGGTACAGTATCAGTCTATTAAAACAGTACAGTAATTAGTTGAGGATTAATCAGATTATTACTAATTGTGATATTGTTTAAAGTGTAATTGGATCACATTGTCTACTAAAAAATTCACATTCTCTTCGTGTGAATTCTATGTTACGAGTATTTTCTTAAAACAATTCTTGATATGACAGTGTGTAATTAAGTAATTAGTTCCATAAAAAAAATTAATAAATTAGTTGAAGATTTGTAATATTATTTTGGTGAAAGAAGCTCGGTCGGATTATTACTAATTGTGTTTCATAAAAATAAAAAATAATAAAAAATAAAAATTCCCCTCAAAAGCAGAGAGTGAATCATTGATGTCATCTCATTTTTTACATATTTCTCCGTTGTTTTGAAAGTCTATGTGTTTATTAATGTAACAAAAATAACTTAACCTAATTATACTTGAAAGATTGACCTGTTTTTATTCATTCTGTCACGGTAGATTCAATACATTAACCGAATAAGGATCCTTACTGCTACACCAATTAATTCGCGGTAAAAGGATTATTAATTGTAACGTTCTTTTGAATGTGAAAAATGCGATTACGGAAATAACCTTATGATAATGAGTTTGTTACTTTTTTCTTATTTTATTTTATTTTTATAGAAGGATTTTATTTATTTATTTTTTGTTTTGTTCTCCTTGTTAACGGCACGTGACGGTTGTTGAGGTTTGATACCAAAGATTGTTTGGCTAAGGATGTTTTGGCTTTTAATGCGTTTTGATTTTGTAATCAAGCTCTTTTTTTCACTCGGTACGCGTGATGCTGTCACTTAAAAAAAAAAAAAAAAAAAATTTTTT